ATAAAAAGCTGAATTTTCTTTTGAAAGAGTATCATTTACTGTGATGTACGATTGCTAAAAAACTTTCATCAGACTAAGATCTAGAGTAAAAATGTTTTTTTCTATGAAAAGGGAACGAGAGAAGGGCGTGTAAACGAGAAAAGCAAATTAGTTGCTGACGTCCGGAGACGTCTATGTAGAATGTCGACGAGTGTGTGTTTTAAAAAACTCATGCTTTCATCTAACTGTAAATTGAAAAGGTAGATAAGAACTGAAACTCTCGTTTGAGGACATCGTTAGATCATCATCCGACATGTATGTTTATTGACAAGAAGAAAACGACACATTCATTTTAATAGATTTATGAAATGTCATATAGTTAAATATATATTTTTATAAACAATTAGTTTAGATATGTCTCGATAAAGAAATAAGGATTATTTACATAATGCCTATAAGTGTAAGTTATGGAGATGGATTTCACAGTTGTTAGGAATAATTTACTAGTTTCATATGATTATTACATAATCAAAACGTTAATGTTTAGAAAAAAAAGAAAGATCTTGTATATGCAATAACAGAAAATGGAACACATAAACCAATAACACAACCTGCAAAGTTGTCAATGCTATCAATATTAGCTTATGCCTCTGTTGGTCTACCCTATTCTATGCAATTGTCCATTAATGCATTTTATACAAACTATTTTCTGTTAGATGTAGCTAAGGTACTATAAATTTAGTGCCTTATCCTATTAAAATAATACTTATATTTCCAGTGTTTTTACAGGTTTCTCCTTCATATAATGCAGGTGCCTTGTTTACGAGTCGAGTAATCGATGCCATAACAGATCCTATTGGTGGCTATTTTTTTCAACGATTTTCAACAAAATGGGGCAAAATGAGACCTTGGTATGAGTCAAGATGAGCATAAACTATATAAACTTATTTATCAATCATTCTTTAGGATTTTATTTTCTGCTCCATTGGTTGCCGTCACCTACTTTTGTTTGTGGATAATCCCCAATGTATCAGAAGTTGGAAAATTTGTTTATTATTTTATATTTCATTCATTGTTTTGGACCTTTATGACAGTATGTGTTATATGTTAAAATAACAGAAAATAGAGGACGAATGTATCTCTTGTAGGCAACTCGAATACCACATACAGCGCTTACAGTGTATATAGCAATAAGTCAAAAGGAGCGAGATGTGCTTACTCAGTATCGTATGTATTATGCTACTATTAATATTTTCACATTTCTTAGTTAAGTTTAGAGAAAGTCACGTTCAAGAATGAATTTATTTTGAATAATAGAGCTATCTAATTTTGAAAAGGATATTGCAGGTAAAAGTAATGTTTATCTTTATTTTTCTTCAGGAACTTTAATGGAAGCTGGTGGATTATTATTATCGATCGCTCTTCATACTGCCGTTATGGTACTATTTAAAGCAGAAGGGAGTAAATGCACACCTAATAATTCTGAAAATAATACAAATGGTACAAACTTTACAAATTTTTCAAACGATTCAACGACCGCAATGCCAGGCATTCACGAACTGAATGTCATTGGTTCTAATGTGGTACGCCTTCATATGTTCATTAGAGTTTTCAATCAGTTTTAGAAAGATATTTTTCTATAGTCGTTTTAGAAAAATGCTTATATGGTATCTGCTGGTATTGTAGCTATTTTATGTGTTGCTACAGCAATATTTTTATTTTTTAATGTACGAGAAGTGGCAGGTAAGATGAAAGGCGATTGACTCTGTGATAACCATTGTCTAGATTGTACAAGATGGATATGTAGTTTTAAGCTCCGAAACCTCAATAAATTTTTATTTATTTGTCGATATGTAGATGTTATTGAATCGGATAAAAGAAGTTTTGTCGAAAGTTCCAAAATGATAATCAAATACAAACCGTTTCTTATATTAACAGTCGCCACCGTAGCATCAGTATTGGCCACACAAGTAATTTATTATATCAAGTTATAGTCAATGCTAAAATTTGCTATCGTTCGCACTTTTTTTAGTCTATCCAAAGTGTACTAGAACTCTATCTTCAACATGTAAAGAAGAAGCGCGCCCTATTTCCATATCTTGCTGCAACACTAATTGTAAATATTCTTAAAAAAGAAATTTTCGATCAGTAATTTTTGAAAATTTTTCTGTTCAGGTTTCAACAATGATTTTGTTACCAATTTGGTCCAAAATAATGAGACGAATTGGGAAGAAAAGGAGCTTTTTTATTGGAAATCTCGTAAGTTTAATATCAATTAGGTACCACAATGTCATTTGTTGATTAATTAAAGCCGTTTTCATGAAAACAATTTGTTTTCTAATATTTAGCTGTTGGTACCAACGTTAATAGCTGTTCTTATCAAAGGTACACCGATGTGGTTATTATTTATCTGTGCTGCCCTTGGCGCAAATACTGTTGCCTGCGGTTATTTAATGCCATGGTATACCAGATGATTTTCTGTTTTGATATTATTATTGCTGACGATATTTTCTTTCTTTTAGGGCAATGTTACCCGTGTGTATTGATGCGTTTATGTTAAAAACTGGCACTAAACCAGTCGAGATCTTTTACACATTTTTTTTCTTGGGTGCGAAAGTTGCGCAAGCAATTTACACCGGTTTGGTACAAGTTGCTTTAGCGTAAATAAATTGCATACTTAATCATAATCGTTAATACATGTGTCTGTACTTTTTTGTTTGTTTTAGTGCAAGTAATTTTGATTCACGATATTGTGATCAACCTGAATCGGTATCAACTGCTCTTCGAATATTAGCTGGAGGTATTCCTGGTGTAATTATGTTGATATCAACTGTTTGTTTATTTTTCTATCCAATTGGTGAAAAACGTACACAAGAAATTGAGAAGCAATTACAACAATTAAGGTAAAATAATTGGACATTATGTGATCATAATAATTATTTAACGATATTTTGTAGAGAATCATCGGCAAATACCAATGACTCATCCGGCGACACCCTCGACCTGGATACATCGACTGAATTTTAGCTAACTTTTAGGATATGTAATATTCTTAAAGCATGTTTTTTGTTCGTTCGGAGCAGAGATCGTGATGTAGCCAAATTTGTTTTGTATTTACATTAGAAAGAATATTTGAGAAAGAATTGTATTCACATACAATAACTCAGAATTATGTTTGTATCCTACGATGATAACTCTTCTTGTACATTTATTTTCAGTTTCATTTTCGATTAAATTCTGCTTTCTCTTGTGTGCTTACTTGTTATTCAACTTTTCGACAAGAGTTAATTAAGCCATCTCGTTTCTCAAAAGTTGTTTTAATTCATCGTTTAAAAATACACCCATCACTTTCATGGTCTGAGGGTCTTGTTACGAAAAGGATCTAGAATTTCTATCCAAAGCTCGTGTATCATTGCTCAGGGATCCTGATATAACCGAGGGAAAGGGATTAAGTGACAAGTGATTCGAGCGGACCGCATGACTCTGATATATCGGGCGGACATCGAAATATTTTCGCAAAAACGGTTATTTGTAGCCTACTTTCCGTGACACGACATTTGCGCGCATGACATTTCCGTGCCGACACTTCCGCGCACGATACTTGCACGCAGAAACATTTCCGTATGTGATACTACCGCACCCACACTTACGAGCAAAATGAATTTTTTCTGTCCTCTTCATTTTACGTTAATAGTTCTTTCAAACTTTATGAATAATTGTTCTGTTCTTATATCATCGGATCAGTTACAGACATATTTTTGATTTAACAAGTTATCGGAATGATGTATATGCTCACTTATCTTTTATTTATACTTATATTTCACCTACTTCATCTTATTTTCATCTCACCTTATATTCAATTGTACTGTTTCATGTTGTATTAATTAATCCTACGATCTTGATCACCTTTTTTATTCATATTAATTGATCCAATAATATGGAAACAGAAAATCTTTCTTTTATTCATACTAATGAGTTTAATTAATATGACGATATGAGAACAGAACAGTTATTCACCAAGTTTGAAGGACTATTAACTAAACATGAAGAGAACAGAAAAAATTCCATGTATGCATAAGTGTGGGCACGGAAATGTCAGTGAGTCTTATTTTCCAGTTCGTTAAACCGCATAATATCTATTTAAACAAAAGGCAAACAGCTTTCAAAAAACTGATTTATGGGTCAAAATTGGCTAAGGGGAGGTCGAGGTGCACAGTCAAAAGCGTAGAGCGAAATTAGTTTTCTCTGGAAAACTATTGTTTCATACATAGCTTCACGCTGTTTAATACGCTGATTGTTTTTAACAGAAATGTTTCTGAGTGGAGCTGAAGTAGATTTTATCTGAAAACTCAAGGGTTTTTTGCGAAAATCTGTTGCAAGATTCAGAATGAAAGAAGCTACTCAGCACTAATTTCATAGATGTCTATGTAGAGCAACATGCGACCAAAGTTTGAATACAATCGACTTTATGGAAATTGGTGAAAAGTCGTCACACTGAGAACACGGGTTTTCGAGAACTTCTTAATCATGAAAAACAACCTTTTTTCGTGAACGTTCAATTCAGACAATTCTTTTGGTAACACAGAGGGTCGCAAACAGACACAGCTATTGTTTTCCATGGTTAAATGAATCTAAGCATCCAAAATGCTTAATTTTCGCTGTTTTAATTAATTTTTGAACAAATTCTCTAGTTTAGATTGTCTAACTGCTCCACTAATACTAAAAAGTTGCTATTCTAGAGAAAAGATTACAATTTAATGATCATCCAGTTAAAAAATGAAAAATCCTAACTTTGCCTTTTGCTAAGTATCCGCGTGGTTACCCATTGCCAACCGATTACTTACTGTCCAAACCCCTGCTTTGTAATCCTGTACTTTAGACTACTCCATATACATAAAGGACGGAGGTCGATAAGAGGCAAAATCGGCCCCCTGTCAGATCAAGCTCATATTTACAAGTCCGATGTAGTTTGTCTCCGTGATTAAAATTAGCATCTCAAAAAACACATTTTCAGCCCCCCTGGATAAAATTCCGCATCCAATCTTTTCTTCTTTAATGAACTTTATTTCGAATATTTTCCCCATTTCTTCTCTTCGCCCAAAGTTAACTCAACTACTGTACATCATTCGATAGTCAATTTCACGGGCTACAAAATGATATATATAATGTTGAGAACAAATGGAGCATGGGCATCCTAACACTAGAAATACTAGTCCCGACCACCGCAAATCCATAGGTCAACAGCGTTCATCGCTTATATTGTCCAGCCTGTTTATCGTTAACCACGCCACTTTATATATCATTCGATAGAGAAATTTCGTGGGCTACAGAATGATATATATATAATGTTGAGAACAAATGGGGTGGGTGTGGGTGTCCTAACACTAGAAATACTACTGTAGAGTGATGTTTTCGGCATCGACGGACAGGCTAAATCTATATAAAACCGACCACCATTTACATCGACCTTTTACATCAGTGATGAGAGGTATCTTGTATTGTAGAGCGCAGCAAGCTGAACCGAATGGTGAAAACCGCAAGTCTCTAGCTTTGTTAGAAAAACGGTTATATAGTCATTTTACCCTCGCAACCTGAAAAATGCATTTTCATCATTTTCTGGCGAATTTGGCCTAACTTATAAAACGTTTGCTGATCACATTCTCTAACCTAGCGCCTTGAAGTTGGTGTCAAATGAAAGAGCGCGTCGAGTTCTATATATTTCGATGGAGAAAAGTTATGCTATACGTCCGAGTCTTGAGATAGAGATTTCTGAAAAACCCGGTTTTCTAGAAAACGTAGTGATCTTGAAGTTTCTCTGAGAAGGTTTTCAGTCATATCATTCGATGGTCCCTTCAATTCTGCATAAGATGAGATGCTGGCCAAGTTTTTCCGATCGCGGACGACCGAGTTACAGGCTTTTTAACAGTATGAATATAAATTCAGTCGCGATAATGCCGTTTTCGACCTGTATCGTATTTTATATGCCAGACTTTGAGACAACATCGTGGAAACTTCGCCACCGTCCTTTGATAGAATACTTGATGATCTACTACGAGTATCAAGTATCAAACACATATATCGACACAGCATTTAGAAATTCGGAATTCTCTAACTGATATCTGCTGTCTCAAAATACTACATCCAATACATCGGCCACTGTGCCTAAAAACAAGCAAGCAACCATTCTGCGATTCTGGTATATTTAATATTGTTTAGTATACTTGATTTCGAAACGTTTTATAGAGTAAGATTTTATATTTGGCTTCTGAATTTGTGTTACTGTCGTTATCTAAAGAATATTGACGTGTTTGTTAATTATCCAGATACCGATCTCGTGTAGTATCTAATAATAAATCCTTAAATCAGTTTGTTGTGACTAAAAGCCTTTTAAAATAAAATTAGTTCCGTGTTTAATAATTACTAAGTATTTTCAAGTACACATCTGTTCAAATATTCGCCTCTGTCTCAAAATAAATTTGAAATGGCATTTTATTAAAAAAATGTGTTTCATAA